AATTGATTCATCATAAAAAGACACAAGTAACACTCAAATGCTTTCCAGCGGGATTGGGTAGGGCTTAAGCTAATTTTTACACCGCGTGTATCTTGCTATTGGTCTAAAATGCCTGGCCTTCTGTTTAGTGCATTTTATGGCCATTCAGTAATAAATAGAGGTCTGTTACAATTTCAGATGGCAGGGATTTTTTTGTTCGTAAAAAGATGACAGCAGATCAGTAATTCTCACTCAAATATTGTTATTTTGCATCTCCAATCATTTCCTTTTAAACAATTATTAGAAAAACTATTATTAAGTCAATTCCCTAGACAAAAAAATGCTACACAAAATATAACTTTTGAGAGTTGCCAGTTGGATGTTCCCATCACTAGCAGTAAATTTTGATGCAGGGGGTTGAACTACAGCTAAAACATGTTCATGCCGTTGGTGTCTATGGCTGGGGCAGTGTATGTGAAACAATTGTAGGGGAATGGTTGGTGGAGATCTCTCGAAATCAGGTCTCAGTAACATCAGACATACTACTTATTGGGAACTCTTATGATTCATTTCTTCTATCAAAATGTTTTATGGTATTTATTTATCTCTCTCATGCTTGTAGATGCATAAAATCTTGCAAGGCCTCCCTACCATCCGGTCCCTGGTTGCTGTTGGTTCTGGTGCTGCAAAGCTTGTTTCCTTGCCTGTTGGGGGGTACAGGAAGGATCATAAAATAATCAAGGGAATGCAAAGAGGTAAGTCATTTTGTGTTGAACAGTTGTTTAGTCTCTGGCAGTAAAATTTGGGTTGTTGCATTATGTTGTAAATGTTACCAGATCATTGTGTGTATCACATGATGACATGAGGTGCTTATATTGCATGTTTGTGGTGAAAATCTATATTTGTCACACACACACACACATCCTGTCTAATTGGTTTGCTGTTTACTTGCAAGATAAAATTTTGATCATGAAATTCTGCTGGGTTGCTCAATAATAATAGAACATGCTAGATCTGACCAGCATGTCATTAATATTATAACTCTTTTGGCGCTTTATTGAATGGTCTCTGTTTCAATTGTTCTATGATAATGTTTTCCTCCTTGACTAATTGTAATTTGGGTTTTTGCATATATTTCTGGTTAGAATGCATGACCTCCAAGTTTAATGCAGAACGTAATCATTGTTGCTAATTCTCTTTCCCAGGTACAAGTGCATTTCTAAAAAGTATATCGCTTGAAGCTGTTGGATTTGGGGTGCATTTGGCAGCTGGGGCTCATGATATTTTGCTCCAAGCAGAGTATATTCTTACAAATATACCTTCTCCTCCTGTGTCATGGTCTGTACAAGCCAAAACTAAAGACAATGTAAGATGCAATCAGCCAAAAGATGCCCAGCAAGGAATTCAACATGTAAATTCCTCAACTTGCCTTGCTTTTTACATGGTTGCTCCTTAGTGCTTTCTGTAACACTTGAAAAATGATATGCTGGTATCATGTAGTTTTGGGTGCCTTATTTTTTAGAAAGAAACAGATAGGAATTTTACGGCCCTAAAGACCATCATGCATTGGAGTTGGTTTATGATTGCATGGAATGGTGTAAGAGGATGTATAGCTGACCAGACCCAACTAGTTTGGGATTAAGGCTTAGTTGCTATAAAGAGCATTATAAATCCATATGTTTGAGGAAATAAAACAATATATCAATCCATGCAGTGTTTGTTCCCCTTAATAAAGTTGTTCTCTCAAATCGGCAGGCATATGAGAGTCTCAGTAATGGCCTGGGAAAGTCCGCTTCTGCTTTAGTGCAGACTCCATTGAAAAAATACCAGCATGGAGGCAGCACAGCAACTGCCCTGGCAACTGCTGTACGGGCTGTTCCCACTGCTGCCATAGCTCCTGTTTCTGCTTGTGCAGGTGCAGTGCATTATGCTCTTCTTGGCCTTAGAAATAGGTGAGTTCCTCTTACTTTACCTTTTGGTTCTGATTCTGATTATATCTAGTCATTTTCCAATTTAATGAGATGCAATCTTCTCAATCATATATTTACTCTGGTGAGGATGCTTGCAGCCTTGACCCTGAACACAAAAAAGAGTCCATGGAGAAGTATCTGGGTTCTTCAAAGCCAAATGATTGGGATTGAGAAACCATTGCATGACCACAGGATAGAAGGATTCTTGCTGCCCTCTTTACAAGAGAAGGTCACTGGAGATCTTGTTTGTCATCATCATAGCCAACATGTATAAAGTGAGTTAAGGACTCTACCACTTGGTCTTTTTTGAAGACTTTATAACACTAAATAAAATGGATCTTGCTTCAATGGAATGAGAAGCTACCCGTTTCTGTTGGTGGTCCAAGTAAACATGGCATAGAATTTCTGGTTTTGGCATTCTGCTGATGATTATTTAGCTGTGAAGGTGTTGATACCTGTGAATTGTGCTGAGTGACTTGTTCTATTTTTCATTGCTCAAGTATCTATTTATCAAAGAATCATCTCAACCTAAAAACTTAAACTATTAGGTGAGGTTCTAGCATATGATTTAAATTATTCTCTAATACATTCCCTTAAATGAAAGCTCTTTGGGCTTGAAACTTATACAAATTCACATTATCTTATACTTAATTTTTTATCAAATAAATGGGGATGATGAGATTCGAACTTGAGACCATTTGATCATTAAGACTCTGATACTATGTCAAAGAACCATCTCAACCCAAAAGTTTAAGCTATTAGATAAGGTTTTAGGATATGATTTATATTATTTTCTAATACTATTAATGTTTAGAATTCAAAATTTTTAGTATCAAAATTTTATATGGTAGTTAGAAATACAAGAAACTATGCTTTGATATATCCATTGTTTGCTGCAGGGTCTCTAGCAGTGCATAAAATCAAAAGACAAGCATTTAGGTTTTTAAACGTTCTCCTTGTTGCAATGATAAAAGAAAGACAGTCATCCTGTAGGTTATAACATGTTAATTCCCATCCTTACTATCAGAGTCATTTACTCTGGATTTATTTTGCTGTTGCAGGTGCGCAGTTGACAAGATCATCAAACAAGATTCTTTTCCATCTGGATGACTTGGTAACATCGTACATTTTGTAATTAGTCACTGATGCTTTTAAGATTTTAGCCATACAGATTGAGCATTGTAACTATAGCCATCATCCAAATTGGTTAGCGGGTGATAGAGAAAAGTGACCCATATTCTTTGATCTCCATGACCACAAGGTATGTTGTTTCTATTTGCCGTACATAATTCTAGTGTTTCTCTGGGGAAAATACTGTACATAATCCATTAATGCTTAAAGAATTGCAAGGTTTGATCATTTAATGTAGTCATCCGGTTAAACCGCTTTATAGGGTCCTCCACCCTTCAGCGGCATACTTAGAACTTTTTAAAACTGGAGAGAACTTTTTAATTTCTATTATTTCATTTTAGAAAGCTTAATTATAACAAGCAGATATTTTTAATTATAAGATGTACTTTTTATTCTTAAGCAAGCACTGCCCGCACGCAATTAGACAGAAAAAGAGCTAAATTGTTGATATAACTTTTTAAATAGTGTAAATATGATTTTTTTTTCCTTATGTACACTTCAATGAGAAAATATTTTAAGAAATTATTTGTACCTTAATATATTTAATATTAATACCTTTTGGCTCTTTTAAGAAAAATATTGAGAAAAGTTGTGGAGATGGAAGAAAAAAATTTTAAATAGAAAAAAATGTGAGAGCTAAATTGTTGATATAGCTTTTTAAATGGTGTAAATATGATTTTTTTTATGTGCAGTTCAATGAAAAAAATATTTTAATGAATCATTTGTATTTTAATATATTTAATATTAATATTTTTTGGTTTTTTTAATAGATATGTAAGAGTAACTTTTCTTCATTTTCATCTCCAAGCCAAAAATAAAAATAAAAAACAATTTTATTTAGCTTTTTCCCTTTGATTTTCTCTATATGAAAGAGCTAAAATGACTAAAGTCCCAAACATCAACTCCTTCACAGAAAGGAAAGGGAATCTACAGTCAGAGGAGGCCATCCATCTTCGTCCAGGCCTTGTTTTACCCCACAATTACGATCCGCCGGATTGAAACCACCATTAGATTAGAAGGCTAAGGACGAGACTACCATTGTATCGGCTTGGATGTCCCAAATATTCTCTGGTTGCCTCAAAGCTTCCTTGATCTAATTAAGCAACACTGGGTGGTGATGGAGGTTTATCGCGGCCTCCTACATGTCTATCTATTAAAATAGTCAAAAACATTAAAACAAATTATTAAAAAAAATTTTCTTTCATAACCATAATTTTTCTCAATACTTTTCTAAAAAAACTAAAAGCATTAATATTAGATATATTAAAGCACACAAGAGTTGTTAAAATGAATTTTTGTACATAAACAAAGGTTATATTTGTACTATTCAAAAACCTATATCAATCATTTAGCTTTTCTAAATAGTTTTAGATGCTAATATCAAATGAATTACAAGAAAAACAATTGTAGATGATATTCGGTATTATGATACCAATTGCTTTTTATTTAAAAATATATTAAAATAATATATATTTTATTTTTTTGGTAATGATACCAATTGCTTTTTATTTAAAAATCTATTAATATAATATATATATATTTTATTTTTTTGGAATTTATTTTTAATATTAACATATAAAAAAATTAAAAATAAAGTAAAAATAAATTTAAATTATAACAAAAGCACAGCCAGCTGCGGAGCTAAACGAGGTCGTGTTGCTTAAGTTATGGCCAAATCTTGCGTTGTCTGAAGGCCACGTTTTCTTAATTGTCTCGTTGAGTCAGCAGCGACTCGAGCAAAATAAATTTGGCGAAATAAATGAAGGAGCTTTGTGTGTGCATTGATGAGGGCCATCTCATAAGCAAAGGCTATTTTAGAACAAAAAATAACTAAAATAAAATGCAAATCAGGAGATCAGTGGAAGCACAGAGCACTAGGTTATAATGCGGAACCCACGGATTGAAGTATTCCATCGCCATCGCCACCAGTGGGTGGTTGTCTGTTGTCACCATGGCTTCAAGTTACGGCAACTTCATTTTTTTTTGACAAAAAAGTAAGTAAAAAAACTTATTTTATGTAACTCTGTTGGAAAAAACAAATTAAATTTGATGAAGTCAATTCACTTCAAGTCATGTAAGAAAGAAAACCCTTCGTTGTGAACTGCGCTCACCATTCTGTGGCGGCAATTGTGTAGGTTGCATCTCTTGCCAAGACGCCTGGACACTTCCATTACTTCCTCTGCGCTTATGATCTTTCCTTCAAAAGCCGGTAAAGCACCTTGCACCTTTCTTACCATCTACGCTACGTTTCCCTTTTCCGTGATATGTTCTTGTAAACTAATCTTAGTGTAAAGTACTAAATTAGAACCACTCAATAGCTAAATCACGAAAAGGTGTGTTTCACTGCAATGTTCCATGATATAGCAAATCTCAGCACCCAGTTCGTGGATAGATAAGAATAGCGCAAATGAAACACATTCATGTTAAGAAATAAAGATCATAACACGACAGATTGAATTAACCAATACTACTTGATTTAGTGGAAGTTATTCAACAGCAAACATTTGTACACACCAAAACAGCAAAATACTACTCGTTCCATGGGGAGCACAGGGGAGGGTTTTACTAAAAGGGGAAGTATGAAGGAGAGAGACTGCTGTTTAGAGTCAAACAAAAAAAGTAAAGCCACAAAAAATAACCAGAAGAAGAAGAAGAATAAGTTAGACAAAATCTCAGCTCTGTTGCAGTCTCACAGTGCACAGAAGAGATAAATGAAATTTCCCTCCTTCGAAAAAATGGCCATGTCTCTCTCCCTCACATCCCAGGATTTGCCTCTCTTTCACTTTGGATAACATTTCACTGCACCATCTTTACAACTTAACCCTCCTTCAACCAACACTTCCTGTAACATATAAAGAAGCCAAATTAGATTTCGTTAATTCTTGTTGCGAACTTTAACTTCAGATATAAAAAAAAAAAAAAAAAAAAAAGAAATCGAAAGGAAAAGGGAAGAAAACAGGTTTTGTCGCACCTGTGTTCTCTTGTTAGCGAGTCCCTCTTCATGAACAAAAATAGGCCTCTCTTCAACTACTCTATCCAAAACCCCAGCGACCCTATCGCTCTTCTTAGGTGCAATGTGACCCCTCTTTAAGCCCAGTTTTTCCTTCCACCAGCCTGAAATCTTTGGTGCTGGGAACGCATTATCGTACTCATCATCGACAAGTAACTCATCTCGTAAGGTCATTTTTCGCTGTTGGTTGGTGCTGTTATCCTTCAAAGGCAGCATTGTACCCTCGAAGAAGATTTCATCTGCAGGAATCATGGAGTGGTTTTTCATCGAGAACTCGAAATCTGTGGAAACTGGTGCTTCTCTATAACTGCTTTCATACTTGTTAGCTTTTTTTGCATCAGCAAAATCATTGGAGAAGGAAATTCTTGGGTCCATGGAGGAAAAGTAAAAGCTTTGTTGCTCACCGTTGAACATTTCCAAGCATGCCATAAACTTTCAAACCAATAAAATTTGAGTATTTTTATGCTGTTCCTTCTCTTTCACCGTTTAGAATCCACATGTAGATGTTTGCATTTATATAGAGGTAATATTGTTTTATGTGTACACTTAGCAGACATCTCATGTTACTCAAATTTGTCGGTTTTTTATTAAAGATGAGGATAATACATTTTGTATTATAATTCTATAGTATTTAATCACTATGAATCAATTGTTCAAAGCTAGCATTATTGACTCTAGTGTGTGCTCAGTAGGCTTCATGCAAGTGATGCTTGGCAAGCAGATAAGACCATTATGATCCTAATACTCTGCTTGATGCGGCCAGATCAAGCCAGCATTCATTTTAGGAGGACTCGTGATCATTCGACCATTAACCACAAGAGTCCTTTTAAAACACAAATTGCATATCCAAACAAGGCCCTCCCTCGGGACGAATCCAGGATCAGAAACATGGGGGGCCAAGAGTTTTTCTCTTTAATAAAATAGAGAATAATTTTTAAAAGAATTTTTTTTAAAATTTTAACCGATCATTTTTTGTGCCGCAATCTCAAACGCATCTCTTTGAACATGTGACTTTTAGAGTTTGTGGGTTTTCTCATATTCCTTTTACTATATTTTAAGCTTCGATCTCCACTTGCATTCACCTACTAACTATGGTTTTCAAAGGCCCACGTGGGTTTGAGCTGTGATCTGATTGTTAATCCAATAACTATAGAAAGCAGGGTCTCTCAACTCCAGTACAAAACAAGAAACTTTCTGCCATTCTTTGACTATTCATTGCAGTTGAATAGATAAAAGGTTTTTGGTTCCATCCCCTTGAATTAGGCTATTGACATTCACATGGTTAATCTTCATCTATATGGAAATTCCTATGATTCATCAAATGGGGTCTTGACAAGTGGTTGATTCTCACACTACAACTGCAAGAAGCTTTGAAAACTCCCTAGACCTTGGACTTACTTCATGGGCTTAGTGGACCCTGTCTCCTGCTTGGTCTCCCATCTTGTTAACAAAGTTTGTCTCTTATGTTTCTCTTAATCTAGCAAGAATCTAACAGAAAATTACGTTCATCACAAAGAACGCGCGAGATCGTTAAAAAAAACCATGTACTTTTATCGGGTGCTTTGTATGTGGCCCAAAAATCTGCTTACTGAAGTCTCCCTACCATGCTTTAATATGAAGCGATGACTGCAGAAAAAACAATGGATGATTAGGCTATTCTATTTCACGACGTGCTTGATGTAGTTGTCCTCAGATCCTCAGATGAGATTAGTACAGGCAATATTTTGATGGCCTTCAGCTGTTTGATGCTTAAATCAAGGAATACTGGAGAAAAACTCGCCACAAAAGTAATTGCTTTTATACTTAGCCTTGCACGACCAGTAGAATCATGACAGCTGGAAACCAAGTAATTGCTTCCAAATGAAAAGTAACATTGCCTTCCTCTCAAGCAATCCTTTCCTCAAGCAGGAAATTGAGATTGTATGAACTTGATATCTTCCCAAGTGGACTCGTCCTCACAAAGATTCGACCTTTGCACCAGACCCCACACCACTGGTTTGCTATGCCTTTTCACAACCTCCTTGCCAGGATAGTTCTGTGAATCAATCCACCACCACTAAAATCACATCTTTTCCTTCAGACTTGGGCAGGCCTTCTATAAAGTCCATGGATATATCACTCCAGTACTGTGATGGAACGGGTAGTGGCTGAAACAACCCTTGACTAGCCACATTTTCTGACTTGTTTCTAGCACGCACATACAAGTATCAACCAATT